TTCAACTCCCAGAATTCCCCAGCCGGCTGGGGAATTCTGGGAGTTGAAGTCCACCCGTCTTAAAGTCGCCAAGGTTGAGAAACACTGCTCTACAGACTAGGGAAGTTGGCCTTGATGGAGATACGCCATTTACCAAAGTGACAGGGGTGAAACATACCTTAAGTCCACCCCAGACAGATAATATTCGGAAGAGACAGACACTTCCCTAATTCACTGGCGTATAAAAAGGGGGAGGAGGTCCAGCACAATCAGATTTGCACCCATTTCAACAAAATTAGTTTTAGCTTTCCTGTGGCGTTGATTTCCTGGGCTGGTCTACCTGGTGGGGCTAACAATATCCTATCTTTCTTTCTCAAGGCTGCTTATATTTTCTGCTTGCAACAACAATCCTGTGAGGTAGGCCAGGCTGGACCAAGCCCTTGGCCCAATGTCACCCAGAGAGCACTAGTATCAATATTTTAGCCCACTTCAACCCTTTACCTCTTGCACCACACTAGCTTTCTCTTGGCCTCTGACATGCCAGCAGATCTTTATCCCACTCGCCTAAATGAAACCTCCTCATTTGGAAATAATATGTTACTATGGTGGCATGAAACTGGCACTGTAGGGCTGCTTCTCCCTGAAAGCTGAACTGGTGACAGATAAATGAAGATCGGAGAGTTTCTGACACACATAAGTTTATTGCAGAAAAGCTAAGGTAGCCATTAGGAAAGAATTCAAGTGAGTGCTGGGTATCAAACGCGAGCCTTATTTACAGCTTGTGATTATGCCTTTCAGGGCAGAAAAGTGAGCTTCTGTCTGGCTAAGAATGGCGGAGGTGGGATCTTAACCACAACAGCCACAAAAGGAAGAACTGACCTTGGATCGTTCGCTTGAAAAAGGCTTTGCACGCTTCGCAGGAGGCCACGCCGTAGTGGTACCCCGAGGCGATGTCACCACATACCAAGCACAGTCGCTTGGGCATCGTGTTTAACATATACTTTCCCCTGCCAGGAGCCTCGTCTGGGTCGTCATCATGGCGTCGGCGGGATGCCCCCGTCCCGGTGGGTAAGGTGCTTGCAGTCTCGAGTTCAGCGGGTGCCCCGCTCGTGCTGGTGTCGGACGACCCACTGGGGCTGTGTTGGACGAGGCTATCTGGAGAAGCTGGCTCGGTTTTAATGAAGAATTCCGTCCGGCGTTCCCGGGATGACATGGCTGAAGAGCTCTGCAGGAAGGGGGCAGAAAGATAAGCCAGGCACAACCAGAACAGCTGGAATAACCCCAAAGGGGTGTTCACACGACATGTTTATCCAGGTTAAAGTCCTCGTTGTTGCATTCACACAACCAACTAAGTTCGGTTTGTCCATTTTTTTGCGTCTTGGGCAAACACAAGCCCACTTGATTCTCCTGCAGTTCCGTGTCTTGTATGAACCCAGAAAACCCAGTTTAGTAACTGGGTTTAAGCTGTGTTTTGTGACCAAACCCCCCCTCCAAGTTTTTAAGTCAAAAGCTAAGTCCTGGATGGCAGGAACAGATGGAGAAATCTCGGATCACTCAGACTCCGTGGAGGAAGGAACTTTTTCTGCCCCCCATTTTAAAATTTGGGGTGAGAACCAGTCGAAAAATTCCAAAATCTTCCACTTCCAGGACCTCCGAGAAGCCCTAATCAAACTATGGCCTAATTGATTTTCCGTGTCCTTCATGCCCCAAGACAAGTATTTTCCTTCCTTTTTAAAAAGTGCATTCAGTCATACCTCAATTCACGAAACTGCACGCCTCGCTCGAGTCGGGGGGGGGCATGTTTCAAGGTTCGTTCACAAGCCAAGGCTTAAGTTCCAGGGGTACCATCGGAGAGCCGAACCCCTGCCAAACTAGGGTTTATTGGGACAGCAACCCTATAACCCCCTCCCCTTCTGATAATTAAGCCACCAAGACGCCGTCCTGGAGAAATCAGCCGTGACCGTGATATTCCGGGTTTCAAGACAACGGTCTTTGCAGGTTGAGGGGGGAGCAGGGAAGCGGCGGTGTGCCCTTTGGGGGAGGGTGAGCTGGAATGAGCCCCCCCCTTCAGCTGACTTCCATGCCCCCCACCCAGTTGTTGGCACGATCTGCAGGTCGCGGCACCCAGCCAGGAGAATGGGACGGCTTCAAGGTCACTCCAGGGAGATACAATCAGGCATGGCGGGGGGGAGAGGCAGGAATGGAAGTAGAACCGGTCACCTTGTCTTCCTCCCCTTCTCTCATTCCTTCTTTCCCCCCCCCAAAGATGCAGCCCCCTCCCCAAAATTTAGGAATTCCATCTGCCGGGCCTAACCCTTCAAAGCTGCCATCTTTCCTCCCTGCTCGGTGCGGTGCCTCCCGCCACGGTCCCTACAGTCCACAATCAGCTGCACACTGAACCATGGTTTTGCCCCTTTCTGGACGCAACAGCCCACCTCCTTCCTGGGGGGGTTGGCCGAAATGTCTGCCAATGGGGGGGTGTCACAGAAAGCCGGTCTCCAAAGAAGAGATTGGGGGTCCCTTCCCGTCCCTAACCAGGAATTTTCAAGCACGTTCCCTAATATCCTTGTAAAAACTGCGGGAAGGGTTTTGGGAATACGGTGCCCGGGAACCGCCAACCCTGGAGCCCAGAGGGTTGGTTACAGGACTCTACCGTTCACACAACACGCTAAACCGACGTCACAGAGCGATCCTTTTTTGGGGCAAGTTTTACCTTTGTCCCATTCACATGGGCCAATCTCCAGCCTTACTCACGGGAGAGCAAAAGTGGAATTTACACAAGAGGAGCGAACGGGGCAGGGGGGAGCACTGGTCAACTTTCTCCCACCCTGAGCCGGCCAAAACCGTTTGCCAAGTTTTGGGTTCAAGGGAAGGGACGTTACATAACCCCCCCCCCCAGCAGTCTCAAAGCGGTGACTCAGGGAAGCTGCAGGGCCTGTGTCCCCCCCCCCAGTGTAATTCCTCCATGGCTGCGCATGATCTCCCTGCACCCCGAGGGCATGTGATCATCCTGCGGACGCCTCCAAAGACCGTTTCTCCGGCAAAGACGGGCT